AGGTACACGAGTGCTTATCATCAAGACCATTGGGCTTGGATTAGAAGCAGATGAGCTATGTGCATATGTACTCCCCGTTTGCCACAAGGAATATTAAAAAGATGTGGATTCAGGTAAAGACTGAATAGAATGCTGTGATTTTTACTGTTTCACCAGGACATCTTTAAGTAAATCTTGACATTATTTGACTGCAAGCACATGGCAGTGAAAAACATGACCTCCAGAACATGTTGCCACTGCTCACCAGGGTTTGACCCATGGTTGCTTTTGCAACCATGAGAATGAATAATGGTATTCAGTATGTTGACTGTTCCAAGCATTCACGTGAGAGGAGTTTTGATTAGTTGGTGTGATAATGAATACAACAAAACGATGAATCCAAACACATCTACTGATTTGTCTGTTTGGAAGATAAAAGTAAAGATCTGCAGATATTAACTCAGCCTCGTATCTTCAGTTAAATCTTTACTTTGATAAGACACTGAGTCATTAGAAAGTGATACCTCTGTGATGTCTTCTGCTGACACTCCACCCAGCACACACGCATTCAGCAGTGTCAGCTGTGGGCCTGTCTGCCTTTCTGCAGGCAATCCAGTGCAGTCTCTTACCCTACTGAGTACTTCAGTGTTTTTGCATTGCTGGTCTGAAAAGCTTTAATGATCAATTTTTGGCATTTAATGAGCTCATCACATCCGCATTTAAAATATTCAATTCCTTTTTTCTGTAAACTCTGAATGATTGCTCTCAAAATGCCACACTTTAAGAGGTACCGAAAAGGTACAATTTTAACTTCAGAAGGTCAAGGAAAAAGATACCTTTGAGTCATGTTTTGTTTTAAGATTTCAATGCCAACTTTTTCAGCATCTTCAGGCTCAGATGGTGCAGTTATGGCTAAGAAAGCTAAACTCCCTTTTAAAAGCTCATGATCCAACCATAAATATAATAATGGTGTGGCTTATGTGACCTGGAGGTCTCCAACATCAAAATGTTCAGAGCAGTGAGGTGGGAGAAGAATGCTGATGCTGAACTGCAAAGACTGAGAAGCAGAAGCATTTGTCGCCAAGGAGGGGGGAGCTGAGCCATGGCGGGGGAGCAGAGACCACTGGCAGTGCACTAAGGGTATTACAAATGAACTGTGCGGACTAACAATCAGAAGCAGAGAGGGTCTGAGTGGCACTGAGAGCCTCTTCCATTGTCCGACAAGGTAGTGGAGGACAGTGGCAGGAAGAAGAGAGGACTGAGTCTGGGCAAGAATCAGCGAATCATATTCAATTCCTTTACTCAATCCTTTACTCAGATTTTTCTAAGAGCATATGAGCATCTTGAAGATGCTCCTTATTATTTAAATGAATTTAAGATACTTTATAGAAAAATGGGCACTAATTTAGTTCATCGAAGCTTGGAATATTCTGCCCAGCCAGTGTGGCTGAGGTTGAGCGTAGACTTATGAATCAGGAGGTGGCAGTTGGATTCCTGGTCAGGGCACATGATTCTCTCTCATCATTGATGTTTTATTGACTTCATACAGGAAGGGAGAGTTAGAAACATCAATGATCCCCCTACTGGAGATCGAGCCCGAAACCTGGGCATGTCCCCTGATTGGGAATCCATACCTCCTGGTTCATAGGTTGATGCTCAATCACTGAGTCACACTGATTGGGCTCTATCACAGTTTTTTAAAAGTCCCCATTTGATAATTTCAACATCAGGGCCATGTCTAGTTCTGCTTCTACTGAACATTTCTTTTCTTATATCCAGGTCACATTTTCTTGCTTCATATATTTCAAATATTTGAGGGTTTCCTAGGTATCACTTTTTAAAT